TTGTTGAAATATAAATTGAATCTTTAAAAGTTTGTCTTTAACAGCGTTACCGATAGATAATGCTTTTTCAGCATTTTCAATACAGTTTTCGAAGGTTCTTTTTGCAGTTAATTCTCCATTAAAAGGATAGATTCTGCAATGACCTTCACCCTCTCTACTTCCTCTTCACAAAATCCACAACCAAATTGTCCGTTAGATTGCTTAAAATTTTGCATAGCACAACGAGCTGGCGTATCACTACTACATATTAATGTAAATACTTATGTGATTTGACGCTTTTTCTCCCCATGTTTAGAATCTATCCATTTTAGGCCTTTCTTTTGTAATTTATAAAGTTCATCGACAAATGACACTAGATTTTCATTCATAGTAGGTTTCTTTCTAGTAGAAAGTTTCTACCAAATCACATAACATAATGTTTCTTTTTCTTTCAAGAGGTTCAAGCTCGTTAATTTTGACCTGAATAGGCCAAACATCGTGTGACGAGCATCATTGCCTTTGAAATAAATCCAATAAGGTAAACAGCAACAAAAATATTTATTAATTAACACTTAAAACACTAAACGAAACAATTCTTAGATTATAAGGGCCCTCAGCGATCAAAATAAAGAAATATAAAAATATACTCTAATAGAGGAAGGGCCAGAGTAACGCGCCGGCTCCTCTTCATCTACTCTCTCTTAATTCTTTAATTTGGTACGTGATTAACTCGTCCTCTAAAGGTGAGCCAATCATTACACCCCAACCAAGATAGAGATATTACTTTTATTTTTTATCTGTATATAAGATTAAAATGAACACTGAATATTTCTATAATCAGTATCTATATCTTATCAATAAATATCTTAACCATGAACCAAAATTAATATATTTAAATGCGTAAAGATAATGTTCTTTAAGCACTAAAATTCTTCATTATGTACAGCTAAAAAAAATAAATTTGTAGAAACACTAAAATAGACAATGTTAGAACATCTGCGGGCATTTTAGCTCCAGGGCGATGTTTGATAGTTATGTCATATCTTTGTAAGGGAAATGCCCATCTTTGGAGTCATATAGTTTGCAGTACACTTTTGGTTAGAAATGGTAGAAGGTTGTGGTCCGTATAGAACTCTATTTTTGAACCAAAAACGTTAACATCGAATTTCCTCGAACTCCACACTCAGTGCCGTAATTTCGCCCTGGGGCCAAATTGTTGACCGGGACGGAGCCCTTTCTAAAACTTTGTGTACTCCATCTCTAATCGTCATTTTGCCATTTATGTATCATGTTGTCTAATATATTTATGAAAATAAGTTACTTGTTCACATATAAATGAGATTACAAAATATTGTAGGTTGTAAATTTAACACTAGAACGTAAAATGTTATCGAATTTAAAAAATTCCTTTTTGGTCACAAAACACAAATAAGTGTCTAAGACATCTAAGAATAATTACAAAACACATAATAATTACAGATTTTAAATGTATTTAATGATTCTAGTTTGGTAGATAGATTTATACACTTAAGTTATACACATCAGTTTGCATTGAAATAAATGTCTAACATAAAAATTTCATATTTAAAAATTTAGATTAGTTTCAATTTTTGAAAAATATTTAAAGTAAATTGTAAAAAAGATTTCACAGTAATATAATTTTTTCAAAAATGTAAAAAGAAAAAAAATTCATATAAAATTTTAAAAAAGTCATAAAAATAGTTAATAATTAGTACAAAATATAAATCGATCCATAATTTGAAACACAGTCCACTAAATTTGCTAATCTATTGTTAATTACTAAAAAAAATCTGAAATAAAACATTTCAAAACTAAAAATTTATTTCTCCTGGCTTTTGTTACCGCAAATTCATCAATTATATCGCCGAAGTCAATATTTCATGCTTTTTCGTTTTCAATAGACAATAAAGCAAGTCCATCATTCAATCGATCCTGCCCCATCGAACTCCTCAAATAAGTTTTCATACTCTTTAATTTAGAGAAAATACTTTCTGCAGTTGCCACAGTTACTGGTACAGTTAAATTCATAAATAAGGCTGTGCAAACATCAGAATAGCTAGAAGATAGAAAATTTTTAATTAGTAAAAAATCCCTTTAACATCTTTCATTTTTTTTAATTTCATCCATAAAAGACGATCTTATGGACAGCGAGATGGGAAAAGTGAAATAACATCCTAAGAAAATTTCGAGGCAAAAGTTTTGGCATGTTCCTCAATTTCTCTTTATAGTGTTGTTGGTGGTTGAAGAACTTTGTAAGTGTTGACAACCGCATCCATGTCTTTGAAACGGCTCTCCAGTTGAAAAGTTACTGTATCCAGAACTGGATAGAAGACAGTTGCCCGGAAACAAGACTCTGGATCTTCAAATCTTTCGCCCTCACATAAGTCATCAAAATGTTTAATTTTTCGATTTCCTCTATTTTCAAATATATTCAGTATGCCCCATTTTTTATACGCATCCGATGCCTCTTGTAGCAAGTTGTTGAAATTGTTCCTCATTTCTTTAGTTTCTAATAGCGAGCATTTCAATAGATTATGAGCAGACGCTAGCTCAATTACACACTTAGAGACTAAGTTGGCACTATTTAGCAATTTAGTTTAGATTACAAAAAGCAGAACAAAGTCAAACTTCTCAATTTTTTTTCTTTGTCCCGCAGCTTCAATCCTTTCCGCAGATTTTTTACTGCATAAAATAATTTTGCTCAAAGATTTAAGAATATCTGTATATCTATCCTTTAAAGCATACACTGCTTCATACATTTCTAGGGTAATTTTGGATGATTCTTTATTTTCCTTTGCTGTTACCTGGAGATCGTTCTATCTAATAATACTATTCCCGAAAAATTCATATTTGCTTTGCACTGTATCAAAAAAGATTGCTACAGTCCTGTTTAATTGCACTGCGTCTTTCAAAACCAAATTGAAATTTTGGGAGTCACAGTGGACAAAATAAGCATGAGGAGAAATTTCACGAATTCTTTTTTGTACACCAGAATAGGTACCACTCATGACAGAAGCGCCATCATACCCTTGACCACGACACACTTTAATGTCTAAGCCTTTTTCGGTACATGATTTCAGGATGTGTTTTGAAATCCAAGGGCCGACTGATCTTGGACTTCGGTGAATGATACGAAAGTCTCACAAATCCTCAATTCTATTGGATCTCCTTCATCATCATAGATCACCTTTACATAACGGAAAACTTCACTCAGTTGATCAATTTTTCTTATGTCTTGAGTGGTGTCTAAAGTTAATGGAAAGTATGGGGCGTTTTTCAGTTCGTTTTTTTTTTGTCTTTGGAAACCTGTGAGGCCAAAAAGTTATAAGTTCATTTTAAACTGAGGAACTTAAGTAATGATCCTTTCGGACGTTTCAAAAGCTCTTCTAAAATTGGATCATATTTCGCTAAAACTTCAATTATTGAGAGAAAATTGCCATTATTTTGGTGGTACAATATTTCTGTTGTTCCTCGAAATGCAAGATTGCAAGTAGATAACATTAAAGTCACATCTAAAATTCTTCGCAAAACTTTTCGCCAAAAATTCTTTTCTTCTTTTAGCCCTTTTTTTCCAACTTTCATGAATCGTTTCATTTTTTTTTCCATTGTTCAAATATAACGCAGGAATTGACATCTTGTTGAGATTGCTCATGGCTCTGGATCCTCTCTGATAAATGTTTTCAGTCTCGTATTCCTTTGTAACTCCATGGACAATTTAAACCGTCACGTGGTTGAGGAAACAACCAACAAGTTTGGCAGTACGCGCAATCAAGCTGTGATGAATAACTCAACCAATACCTTCTTATTCTTAAACCTGATTTTGTAATGGCTAAGTAATACATGTTGGAGAAAGAACGCCTGTTTTGATTTGCGTCGTTTGGGAACGGGCCTTCTGGTAGAGTTAGACCAGATTTAATAATGGTTAAATTTATATTAGAATTTTTTTATATTATCAGGAAAATCAGAGTTTGCATTCTTCAAACAAATTTTAGGAGCAATCACGTTGTATTCAGGATGAAATACATAACCTTGAACCGGAATATCTAAGGGCTTAGAATCATTACGTCCCCTTAATCCTATGACTCGCTCCTCGTCACTTGTATTTTTTTCTCATTGAGAATTAAATCCTATGAAGAAAAATTTTAAAGTTGACTAAAGGCTCAAAAATATATTTTAAAATAATTAAAAATATAACTAACCATTTTGGTTTCCCTTTCCTTCATTATTTGTGTCTGGTTGAGATGAGATTTTAGCATTCTCCGCCTCATGCTTTCTTTTTTTTGAGCTCCGCTTAAAAAAGAACGTTTAATTTTCCCCTAGTTTATTAATATAATAAATCATACATTAAGTTTTAAATTAAAAGGATCGAAACTTATCTTAATGTCGCATTACATCACTTGGAAATACACATAGTTAATAAATTTTAGAAAATACAACATTAAAGACATCTTAACTTTTTTATCCAGATTGCGAATTAAAGGTTCTAAAGGGTTTTTGCCTGCTTTATTCTGAGCAATTTAATGCTAAATGGGAGATAATAATAAAAAATTTCCAAAATCACAGCAAAAATACTGACACCCACAAACTGCGGTGGGATGTTACCATTTGAGACAAAGTAAAAAATTAAATTTTTTAAATTTAATTCTTGTCTATTTTTAATATTATTAAATTAAAAAAGAAAACAAAAGAGTCAATATTAGCAAATTAACTTTTTAATAAAACAAATATTAAAAAATTTTGGTCCCACTGTACCACCCGGTATGTGAAAAAACATACCACTGAAAGTTATTAGAAACACGAAAGATATTAAATAAGTAGTAAAATGACCAACATAAAAAATTTACTCTTTTCCTTTAATTAAAAAATGAATTATAAATCACCGTAATCACTTATTACAACAAGCTGAACTTTTGTGACATTTCGAATTACATAAAAGTTTGTTGCTTCTGCATTTACAGTGGTTTGTTACACACTTAGTCGAGCAATTGCATCTCTTGTAGCCTTGGCCCCCTGTCAGTGATTAGGAAGACGCTATGGTTCGTAGCAATTTTTCTTTTGTGCCTATGGAATCAAGTGTTAGTAGTTTCTCGTGCAGAATGGAAAACTCACTTCTGGAATACAGGTGTTTGAGAACGCCATGTTCTGTTCCTAGCTTGTAGAAACCGTCCTCGACGTTCATGACAACAGCAAGAACGCTTCTTGGATCACCGCAACCCCTGTCAACATCTGGTATGCGGATACGCACATTATCTCCAACTTTGGCTGGTGGAAATTTTGCACCTGAACTTCTCAGTATCTTTGCACCTTTAGCTTGCAAACTAGCATGAGCTCCTGACCTCTTCTTGCAGATTACTTGTTTATTGTGAAATAGCCTGCAAGTAATTTCCCCTCCGTAATTAATTCCACAAATTGCATGGACATCTTTCCCGCAGGATCTGCATGAATGGGCTGCTCTACACTCTTTTCCACCCACCACACAGAATATTATCACATAGTTATTGCCGGCCAACCCTTCAGTAATTCCGGATGGTTCCACTGTCATAACAGGAGCTTCATTTCCGAATGCATTCCTTGAATTTATAGCAACCTCCATTTCTTGTTCGACTCGACGTTCTCAAGGTCTTCTTCTGTAACTAGATTGACAACCTCTTTGGGCAGATTTAAAGTACTCTGCCCCACTTTCACTTTGCAGCCGAGCATGGCCTCATATGGCGACTGCTGAATGCCTTGGTGGAAAGAACGGTTTTTCATGCATTGGATAAAGCGGAGATTCTGAGCCGATATACCGATATAAAATAAGTTTTACGAAGCCTCTAGCCCAGCGGGCTATCTACTTTTTCATCGAAGATGATGTGGCAATAAGGTAAGATTGGGGTAAGAGTGACTGAAGAAGCGACAAGACTCCTTCGTCTTTAAGCAATTCTTGTAGTTCTTTAATTAAGGAGACCAATATATGTGCAGATGATGCTGGGGTGGTCTTCTTCTGTCTTTGATTTTTTCTACAGGGGCGGGCCTCGCACCCTGAGAAATTGGAGGTGTGAATTTTGTTGCAATTGCAACAAGTTGCAGGAGTGTCCCTTGGTTTCTTGCATTGAAAAGAATAGGTGCCCTTCGGCACACTTCATGCACTTTGGAGGGCTTGAGCAACAGGGATGAGATTTTTCCGCTTTTTAGCGGATTTCCGCTTTTTTCGCTTTTGTCTCTCAAATTTCAGCTTTTCTATCGGAAATTCCGATTTTTCTCGGAAATTCCGATTTTTCTCTTTTTTTAAAAAATAAATATTCCGTTTTTTCTAACTATTTAAATCATATATTTATTTCCGATTTTTAAAGATAAACAGAGAATTCCCATTACTTTAACAATCATAATGTGTTCTGATTCATGAATCAAAAGCTGAAAATCATGCAATACCAGAACAGCCATGAAGTACTTTATAACAGTAAAGGGGAGGGGGGACATAAAGGATTACATCTGTTTTCCATTAGAACAAGAAAGAAAATCGCACCGATTCTACTTAATGTTTAGCTAGTTTAAAATATTTAGAAAAAAATTTATAAGCCATATTTATTATATTATTCATTATATTAAAGTTTATAAGCCTTATTTATTTTTAATTTATTAAAATTAGTCGCAATGGCGACTGTTAGAACGGACATAATTTCTCGTTCTGATAAATTAAATGTGCGCAAAATTGATCGAAATATGAAAAATCCCTGGAGATGGGATTGGTTGGAAAAGAAAGTGGATGGTGTTTTTGTCCAAGAAGTTATAAGAAAATTGAACAAAAGTGGTAAAGCTTATTGCCTCGTGTGTTGTACTGAAATATCACACGGTTCTAGAGGATTTGCGGCACTTTCTTCCCACTTAACATCCAAGAAACATCAATTGACTTCAGAAGCAAGAAGAAAAAATTTTGCATTGCCTGGTAAGTAGTATTTTGTACTATAATTCGGTAGTCGCTCTTAATCCCGCTGTGCTGGCCAATAATTAGTAACATTTAAATACCGCAGTAACTACGGGATGTTATCATATTCGATTAGGATTTAAATGCAAGATAGATTTAAAAATAAAATAAAACTGTTGTGTTGAAAACAACTCTCAGAGTGAAATATAAACCTTTATTTTAATTCACATCTTGGTCCAATTCTTACAACACTTAATATTCTAAGTTTATTTAACACTTTAATTTTAATTTCTTATTTAAGAAACACTTGATTGTATGGTAATCAGTTCGAATCTTTAAGCAAAATTATGTAAAATAATATTTATAAAGTGCATTTTTAATAAATTTTGTTAGTTTTTTTTTTAATAGAACAATAAAAGAACATAATTTTATAAATCATCACCCACTCATATTAGTGCTGTTATTTTCTTTTCCTATTTTATTGTTTTTGTTAAGATTATGTCTGTTTGGAATAACATAAATTTTTAAGACAACCTAACCACTACGAAGAATGATAAGTAAGCTAATCAATAAATCTGAAAAGAAATAGAAAGCAAAGAGGAGCGTTTTTTCCCCCCTTCCACTTATGCAGGTGTTCAGACAAATAAATTAAGGCGGTGTGAACATCTCTATTTATTCTTCTCTCCTACTAACGGTGACAAGGGAGGGAAAGAATATAAATAAGTTTTTTTTTTTTTTTTTTTTTAATTTCTTTTGCAAAATCTCGTAATTTTTCCCAACTAGCTCAATATTTTTATGGTTACTAAAATTTTAATTTAATGAAATATTTGATAATAAAATATTAATTTTATTACTTTGATTTTTCGCTTGTAACTAAGTGTAATTTATCAACGAGTTTTTGCACTATGTAAAGTCCTTAAAATTTATGTGTCTCTTATATTTATTACATTTAATATTGATTTAACAATTTTAAAAAAATCGGGAAAGTTCTGTATCGAATTCAGGGACCATCCACTAATTCTTCATAACTATTATTAACTTATGGTTTTTGTTGGTTTCAGAAATTTTGTGGTTTATGAACCTTTTGTTTTTTTTAAAAAAAGAATTCAACTCAACAGTCTCTTAATTAAAATTAGTAAAAATTAAACATAAAAATTGAGGGGTCATATACTTATTTTACTATTTTTAAGAAATATTTATTTTGTACTTAATTTTTTTTTTGTTAGTTTTTGTGTCTCTTGTATTTATTCGAATTAAAATTGATTTAGCAAATTAAAAAAAATCGTGAAAGTTCCATGTCTAGTTGAGGGACCGTCCATTAATCCCTCAAAATTTATTGGTCTAACTTACAGAATTTCTTTGTTTCAGAATTTTTGAGGTTTATGAGCCTTTTTTCTGAAAAATAAAATTAAAAAAAAAGTAGACAGCTTAACAATTTCTTAAAATTGAATTATAGAAATTACGGGGTCGTTTATTTTTACTATTTTTAAGAAATGTTATCTTGTACAAAAATTCTTTAATTTAGTTCACTCAAATTAAAAAAAAATACAATGATTTTTAAGAACAATTGAATAATTAATCACAGAATTTTTGCGCAGTAATTATAAATAGGGATCGACCACTAATTACTTTTGCTCTTTTTTTCTTCATTTTTTAAGATAATTTTATTAATTAGGTATTTAACTCTTAGTGAAGTATTTAATCTTCTGGTTGAGAGGTCATTAATAATTATCCAAAAAATATCATTTTAAAATATCTTTCAACTCAATTAAGGCAAAAGGTTCAGTGTTAGTATTATTAGATTTTCTACAATGGCCACTGAGTAGTCATATTAATCAGCTTTATAAAAAAAGTCTTACCATTTGTAACAAATGGCAACCAAGGGAAAAATTATTTAATAATGTTGTTTTTATGTTTGAAGCTAATTAGTGGTTTTCAATTTTAGGAAGTAGTAATTCTGATAATGCTGCAAGATCAAATATTACATATGGCTTACATCCAATGTTTAAGAGCTCTGTTACAGGATCCGAAAGTAATCTTCCACAACTTTCTGTACCACTTGCTGATCGAATTGCTAACGGTGAAGCTATGTTATTAAGCTTTCTTGCTGAAAAATCCCTGCCATTTTCACTTGCCCCTGGCCTGTTGAATTTAGTAAAGGAGCTGTCTAAAGATCAAAAAGCTTTAAATGGAATTAAAATGCATCGCACTGCAGCATCATATAAATTACGCTTTGGTGTTGCAAAAACCTTCAAAGAAAATCTTGTTTGGGATTTAAAAAATTGTTTATTTTCATTAAACATTGATGAAAGCAAGAGCAGCAATAATGAAAATATAGTGACAGTCCTTGCAAATTACTTGAAAAACAACAAGATTGTGACTGAACATCTGCAGTCATTTTCTGTTGATAGCGTCAACAGTACTTCTCTTTTTGAAGGCATTGTTAAGCTCTTAGAAGAAAATAACATTCCTTGGAATAATTTAATGTCTGTACTTTTGGATTCTTGCAATGTTATGCGAGGAAAGAAATCAGGGCTGGAGAGAAGACTCAGGGAAAAATGTCCACATTTGCTTGATATTGATGGTGACTCTTGTCATCATGTGCATAATGCTGCAAAGCAATTCTGTAAACCTTTTGGTTTGCATCTTGAGTCTTTATTTGCAGATATTCACAATGATTTTAAATGGTCACCTGATTTACGTGCAGCTCTAATAGGAATTTGTGAAGTTTTGAATCTTAAGTATACAATGCCACAAAACTACATCAGTTTCCGCTGGTTATCAGTATATGATGTGGCACAAGATTTTTTGAGGATGAGTAACGCCTTTACTTTATTTTATTTTTCTTTTATTTGTCAATAAAAAAAAACAGTTTTTCTCTCAACGATTATTAGCATATATAGGCATTACAACATCAGCGAGACTGGAAGAGAATATATTCGAAATTTGCATTCTGCGCTTGCAAAGAAGAATCTTACGCAGGCAGGAAAAGAACGAAAAAATAGGATTTGTCAAAAGATATTTGAAGATGGGCTAACGACTAAATTAATCACCAACTTGTTTGTGTCAGTTTTGCCATTACTTCAAGAATATATAAAACTTTTCCAAACTGAAGCACCCCTCATTCATAAGCTACATGACAAGCAATTTGACCTGGTTAAAGGATTTTTTGCTTGTTTTGTGAAACCTGAAATATTTGCAGATATTGGTAATTCCACAAAAAAAATTATTACTGTAGATGTAGCAAACAAAAGCTATCATTTAAAAAGTGATTCAATTTTTGTTGGAAGAAGAGTTAAAGAGTTAATTAACTCAGCACCGAAATCACAACTACATAAAGTTAAAGCATTTCAAAGCAATACTCTTCAAGCATTTGTTGCCTGCTCACGGGCATTGCAGAAGAAGATGCCGATAAGAAATAATTTCTTAAAGTCTGTATCGTGTATTGACCCAATGTGTAGGCAAAGTTCCTTAGCACTTAAATATATGATTCAATTGCCATTGTTAGTGACAAATGTCTTGTCAAGAGAAGAAAAAGAACCATTTGAGTTAGAGGCAAGAAAATTTCATTCCGATTCCATCCAGCCTCCAAACGAATGTGATACTATTGTTGAGTGGTGGGTTTATGTATATAGAACTGGAAAATATCCATTACTCTCTAAGATGGTATTTACTCTTTTAACATGCTTTCATTCTCCCAAAGTTGAATCAAGTTTTAGTCTTATGAATAATATATCACCAGGAACAACGAGATTGAATGTACGAACTTTTGATGCCATCCAGACAATCAAATATCATCTTTTAGCCAATAAACAATCCTCGTTAACTTATTTTGCCAAGAAAGATTTTTTGCAAGTAATCAACAACAAGATTTTGATAAAAATCTTGTTCAAAATTTAAACTCTTCTTGCAAAGCCTACCAAGAAGAAAAGAATAAAAGAAAGGAAGAAAAAGAAATCAGAATAAATATGGTAAAAGAAAATAAAGAAAAGGTGTTATCAAAGGAGGTTGTAAAAAAATTATGTGCAAATGCTGCTAAAAGACAAAGACTCAAACACAAAAAGAATATACACAAAAATGACGGAAATGATAATAAAATTCTTGCAGACAAATCAGAAGATATGACAAAAATTTCACCAGAGAGAGAAAAAAACTTAAAATTATCAATAACTTCTAATGGGAAATCAGCTGTGTGCAGAGCTAGATCCTTTGTTAACACAAACACTAAGATCTCAAATGAAAAAATCGAAGAGAATTAATTCTTTAACTATTAAAGATGTTTAAAAAACTCGCAGCTAATAAAGATCATAATTAATGAATTTGTGCTTTTCATTTCTAACAGTTTATTTTCTTTTGTAAATAATGGTCCAGTTATTCATGCTATAAAATGCAAATTTCTTATCAAATGAAAAATAACTATCTAAACAGGTGCTTATTATCATGTAATTTTTCAAACTTAAATAGCAAATTTTGTATGTTGATAATTTACTAAATGTTTCTACTTCACAATTATTGATGTGTTTCAAAGGGCTTAGTTATATTAAATTATAATATAAACACAGTGATTCAATTGTGAAAGTTTATTTTATTTTCTAAATAATTAAAAAAAATCATGTTACTGATATATTTACTATAAAACACATAATAGTATTTATTAAAAAAAATTGAATGTTTTCAATAATTTGATGTACTAAACTAGGCAGGATTCTGAAGTAATAATTGTCTCCTTTGTGTGAACTGAAGAAAAATATGCGTTCTAGCACTATTTTTACAATGGGTTATTTCACTTTTTATTAAATGTTAAGGTTCAATGTAATTATTCGTATATTAATAATTTAGTATGCAATTAATTTTATATCAACACATAATTAATTATTATCTTAAATTGTCTGGAATGTATTATTAAACGATTATACGCGCATGTGATTTACTCGCGTGGAAATTCAGCTTTTTTGCCTTTCAGCCAATCTCATCCCTGGAGCAAGAGATCTGGGTGTGTCCAAAGGCCTGACAGCGGAAACACTGTATCGGCCGACGGCCGCCGTGGAACCGCTCAACGCTGACCGGGATGTTTCTGATTTTGTCGGTGAAATACACTTTCGTGTGGTTGGTCAGCCTGGGTAGGATCACTAGGAAAAGTGGGAGGGGCCGATAGGCTCCACCCACCCTCCTCTTGAACTGGATGATCTTGTGTGTTTCGATATTTAATTTCCCTAATTCAAGGGAAATTAGGTCTGGGTCGAAGTCCCTTGGGAGGCCACGAAGGAGCACTTTCAGGAATTTAGCTGACTTCACATCATTATTTGCTGGCCCTATAAATGGGCCTGGAAGGTGCGGCGTCGGTGGGATCTTCCTCGGTGGTCTCCGTCGGGGCTGGTGGGGGTGACTCCGGCGGTGGAAGAGCAGTGGAAGGTGGTTGGCAGGCAGTAGGCTTAGCTGAGGGAGAGGCTTTGATTTTCTTGGCTGCTTTCGTCTTCTTTTTCTTCCTTCTCTTCTTGGATGGAGGCTTAGTGGAGGGAATATCTGGGAACGCTGTTTCGGATGCCGAGGCATCCTCATCAGATTCTGTTGTTTCAGGAACGCTGGGCTCGGGAACGAGCACAGGCTCTTCAGTCTCAGATGTTTCGGGGGCGCTGGGCTCGGGAGCGGGCACAGGCGCTGGCGAAGTTGCTAAGTCCTTCTCGGGAGTCGGGGTGGGATCATTCTTGGCCATTAAGTCCAGGAAATAATTCACATCGTAGCGTCGAAGTCTCGCTCTGAGATCTTCGCACATCTTCGTGGCGTCGTCCATTGCAACATCTAAGGAAGCTGAGATATTAGGTGAGGAGTCTTGACTACGGCCGGGAGGTGAAACCTTCCCGCCGCTGGCAGTTCGATGATAAGGCAGCTAGCCTGTGAGACAGGGATCTGCTTTTGATGGAGAGATAGCTTTAGTCCAGTTACAGTGTCATATCGATCTTTTTGTAAAAGCTGTTGTCCTATGTGACTCAAGAGCTGCTTTGCTTGCCACTGCATCCTTAAATAATCCCTTAACTCGAGACAATTTGGATTGCTACCTCCAACTTGTAAACCTAGCTTCTCTTAAGAAAACCATTGTTCTCCAGTGGGTTCCTGCCCATTGCGGGGTTACGGATAATGAAAATGCAGACTACTTAGCAAAAAAGGGGGTCTTAATTATTCAGACTTCTGCGCACATTATGCTGTTGTGTCACAATAACCAGAAATAAGACGTGAGTTGTACCAAACAAATTATTTAAACATTCCCACGAAAAATCACAAAATATTACCCAAAAGAAATCTCTTCTCAGAAAAAAACTCTCTTTCTCAACAACACAAAAAAAACATCACTTCTCGTGTGTGTCTCTCAAGTAACATCATTTTAGCATTACCTCTCGAGGAATTGATGCTTTTAGCACAGTTGTCACACACTGTTACGTTACAATGCCCTTCTGTTCATCAAACAGCTTATTAAGAGGACCATTAAGACCTGTGCTCATGAAGAACTTATCGACCGAACTTCTACTAAGTTTTGGTGGGCTACCATCCTAAATTTGCGAAATGGCCCAAGACGAAGAGCGTTAGCTGAATTCCGCTTGGTCACTGGTCATGACTGTCTGCGGAAACATCTGCCTAGATTTGGTATCTTTTCTTCCCCGGTATGTACTCTTTGCAGTTCTGGTGAGGACATGGACTCCACGCGCCTTCTCCGCTGCTCTGCACTGTGCAGGAATTCCATCACTGAACGCTATTGGGAAGCTAGAGACATGTTATGATTAATAGACTTATTTTATTAGATGTTTATGCATGTTGTTACTGTCTATAATCTGCCATTGGAAATAAAATAAAAAATATTCCGCGATAAGTCTTTCTTTAAGAGTATTTTATTTATTAGCGGTTGGATGATTAAACAAAATATCTGTAACTGCCGATAAAGTCTCTGGGTCGATAGCTGCAATAATATTGTTATATTTAGTTTGGTCGTTAGTAATTCCTGATAAATCAAAATTACTTTCCGCCTGAACAAACCGAAATTTGATATTATTCTTCCATGTTGGTGGTAATTTAACAGCTATACGTGCAATTTGAGATTCAGTACGATTCTGCTCAGCTTCGTTTGGCATATTGAACTGAAAATAGTAACAAGCTGAAACAAAGGAAACTAATTCATGTACAAACGTTCTTTTGAGATGTCTTTTAAGTTTAGAATTAAATTCATATAAAAATCAATACCACCAACTTTACATCTTGTCTTTACAGCTTGAATCGTCACCACGCTGTTTGCAGTCCAATAATTCATGTAATACAATCGAATAATTTTTCCATAGAATTTGATTTTAGCCTGCTACAGCGAACTGGTTCACCACTGAAGAGAGTTCGAAGTGCTAATTTCTCTTAGAACATTTTATTTCACAAACATTATTGGTCGTCCTTTGACCAAGCTAGCTAGCGAAGGGACGGAAAAGTTAAGTCGCAGTTCTTCACCTTTCTTGTTCTGTTTTTCACACGGCTATTGCGATTTTTCTAGATTTGTTTTTCACATTTATTTTTCCACTTTACGTTTTATATTTCAAATTACTTTTATTTCTTCTCATTCATGTTTGGAAAGTCGTTAAAATGAGCGCCTGTTTTTAAACGCTCGAAACATAATGACTGTTCTTTCCCCTCTACATATCGCTCATAGGCTGTAATAGTGGCTCAAACACGCGTTATGGTCAAAGAACAGGTTTAAATATGAAAATGCTCATTCTTTCAGCAGCAATGCTTGCAGAACTCATAATTCAGCTTGAAGATAATCTTTGTTTAAGCAAACGATAGCATTTCTTGTGCATTTTGCTTTGCAATGAAAACTTTAAAACCTCTTATCTTAAAACATGATTTTTGGAGTTCTGCTATTGCAGCCCATGAGCGATATATCTTCGAAGCGCGATTGAAAATTTTTAATAAAGTAATATCTTATCACTATTGTTTTGGGATTATTTTTTTAATGCTAGATACATTAAAAAAAAGCTCATAAAAAGAAGAAGAAAAGCTACTTCGTCAACACTTAAAAGCATATTTGCCGAACTAATTCATTCTACATACATACGTTTGAACGGCATGGTTGATTTAACATAGTGGGTATAACAATTTAAGATTTAACTTTTCAAATTTAAATTAAAACGACAAAACACATAGTTGCAGCTACCAATAAGAAATTATTTTCTCAACGACCGTTCAATTTAGGGACTGTGTACGTAGGTAAAATCATACGAAATGAATAAAATGAGTTTAAAAAATGCAAATAATAAGAATAACATATTTATCAAAATCTTTATTGGTTCTTAGGCCAGAATTGGTAACGTTGTATGTTTAGCAATTTCACAGTGGCTTTTTTTATTTCTTATCAGCCTGAAATATCCTTTCTCTCCCCACTTCTCACCCCAACTGCAAAATAATAAAAAACATTATATGTTAAGTTTAATATGTATATATAGAGAGAGATTTTATTAGCTCATGACTAAACAAAGGAAAAGCTTAAAAAAGAAATGACAGTGTTAGCAAGTGATATAAAATCAGTTTACAGTATAGTCCATAGAATCTGTTTTGGGATGAGTATTCCATTTTTTTTAAAGATATCTGACAATGAATGCAGGGCAACGACTAAAGTTAAGGGATCCATTTCCGCTTCAATGTTGCACAATTTGAGAATTGGGATTGAAACAATAATGCTGGGTGCAACGTAGATCAAGATCCTAGTGGAGCATCTTGTAGCATGTACGTTAGAAATTACATGCAGCTCGGTACACTGCCGCGTAGCGGCATTAACCGATTCGTCGATAATGTTAATTCGATAGTGGCGGGTAAAGATATAGGAAATGAAATTGGAAATCGGAGGGGGCGGTGCCTACCACCACGTTAGGAATCGCGGGATCTCATTGGACGCTGACGCCAGCGAATCTTAAGTTGAGAAAAGGTCGGAATTGGTATTGGAATATGTTTGAAATAATCATAAAAATAACATAAAATAATTATAATACCGTCAAGTGGGGCTACTTTGTGCAGCGGGGGCTACTTTGTGCAAATTCGAATTTGGCACTTTTCAAGTGCTGCTATTCAGCATTATGTTTTTTTTCACGTTAAAAATGTGTGGAATTTGAAGATAGAAGTCTCCTTTATTACTACAAAAAAAGTTTTGAATTTTAAAACAATCTCAGAGTGTGTTTTGTTTATCCAATGTCAACAACTTTCCGAGAACGTCGGACGTCGAAAAGTGTGCGTGGAAACTTTAGCTGTGAAATGCAAAGACGTTGATAAAACAATTGTAGTAAGCGCAAAATTTTTTATTTACATATTAATAAACAATTATATCATGTTAGCGTTAAAAAATTTTGAAAATTAATAACAAATAAACGGAAAATGAAAAAAAATGCACTTTGGGGCTACTTTGTGCAAAGTTTCATTCGTTTTTTTTTTCGACAGAAAAATTGTCAGACGTTATAAAAAAATACCTGGAACGAGAAACTACCGTGATTACACTTTAGAAAAGCTGCAACAATGTTTGCAAGCAGTTGCTGGTGGTATGTCGATTGCAGAAGCTTCTCGGAAGTACAAAATCCACAGAAATACTATCTCTAATAAAATTCACAAGAAACACGTGAAACGTGCTGGTAAACTATTATTTTTCTTCTACAAAGATTTTTCTAATGAATTAATCAAACGATTTAACACATAAAAATATATTTTATAGGACATCAGGTGATTTTGACAGAAACTGAAGAGCAAGTTCTGTCATGTTCATTCAAGCATGTTATGTTCAAATTTATCAATATTATAAATGTTAATGAATATGTAATAATTATTATTTTTGAAATTTCATCCATTTCAATGTTCAAAAATGTATATGGTTTCCTTTTGTTTAAACTCAAATGTTTTGAAATAAACATTCTTTTTAAGAAAAAATTCTTTAAAAAAAATGGTTTTTTAACGCTGAAAATTATTTTCAAACTAATATCTTTACATATCTTGATGTTTTTGTCTTTAAAAATGTCAACAATTAACTTTTTTAACAATTTTATATCAATATTTTACTAAAACCATGATTACTAAACTGAATTCCTATCGCTGCACAAAGTAGCCCCACTTGAGGGCTACTTTGTGCAAGGTATGTTTTGACTTATTATTGGTAAATATTACATACAAATAATGCCAATATTGATCAAATTTCTGAGTCCAGTTACGAATATAATATCGATAAATTTTGCTAAAGTTTTAATTAACATAGTTTTTTTACATGTCAAAGTTCAAAAACTGCGAAATCCTGCACAAAGTAGCCCCACATGAGGGTACAAATACGAAGTATAAAAAAAAATAATAAAATGAGAACGATATTTACAAACGCAAAAATAGATCAATAAACACTAATAATTAAGATAAGCGAGAATATAAAACAATTGAGGTATAATAAAAGTGGTACTTGATTAAATTAGCTATATACATATATACAAATCGGGTTGGGGTTATCAAGATCAAATAATAATAATCATGAATTAAGTGTAAGGTAAAAATAAAAGTATATCCTCTGTTATAGAACTGACCCAGGCGTCCCGGTATTACCGCTCGTTTCTGGGCTGCTCAGCTCACATCAAATACTAACTCTTTGGTCGTGACCCTCCGAGGGGGGTTGCTCCGTGCCTCCGAGCTAGTAATTGTTATGTTTTCTCTGCATGAGATGTATGTGTGTATCAAATTGAATGAATAATTAGAATATTATCCTGAATGTTGTTTGAAAAAGGCGGTGATGGGGCTGAATTT